TTCTAATCTTGGTTGCATTGGCTTTGTTTGTGCCAAAACTTTTCAATGTAATCAAAATTATCCATTTTGCATGTCATAGTTCTCTATATCCTGTTTAGTCATGAATTCTTCTATTCTCCATAAATCTATAGGTAAACTATTCTTTGCTCTTCCAGTTTGCTTATAGTATCAGCCTTTATATCCAAATCATGAACCCATTTTGACTTTATTTTCAGTATATGGTGTGAAATTTTGGTCTATGCCTAGTTTCTGTCATACTCTTTTCCAGTTTTCCCAGCAGTTTTTGTCAAATAGTGAGTTGTTATCCCAGAAGCTGGGATCTTTGGGTTTATTATAGGTCTCTCTTCTAAATGATCATCTAACCACTAGTTCCTTATGTGCCCCTAAGTCTTCTTAGGCATTGTGGAAGGAATCACTACTAATAGAATTGTTCTAAAATGAGTTGTATAACTTAGAAACTCAAATTCTAAGACTTTTTGGCCTCTAGAACTGAGGAGGACTTTAGGAGTCATCTTACGTAACCATATCATTGTACAGATGAGTAAAATGAGACACCCCTGTGGGAAAGGGACTTACCCAAAGTCACACAGTGGCAGAGATTGGCCTCTCAATGAGTGGAGAACAGCAGTGAAGAAGGAGATTTACTGTACTGTTTTTCTTCTTTAAAAAAAAAATAAAGCTATACAAAATTGTCTGTCAAAACCCTGAAGCAATGACTTGGAACCCAAAAATAACCAAAAGGACTATCTCAGATACTTGGGCAATAAGGACAGTGTAACTGGAGGTCAAGCTTGCTTCCTTCAATTTAGTTTCTTACCTGTGCCTGGGCAATTTCTTCTCTTGAATATGCATGTTCCAGTATGCTAGCGTATTAAATAAGTACTGTGATGATAGTGGTGGTGATGACATTAACTGGCATTTGTACAGTGTTTTATACGTGTTATCTCATTGATCTTCATAACTCTGTTCTGTGAGGGCCACAAGTACCATAATCTCCATTTTACAGAAGAACCAGGCTAAATGAAGTTAAGTGAACTTATCCAGGGTTATACATTTTATTAAGTGACTTTGGAGAGGGAGGCTAACTTAGACCTTCTTGATTCTAGGTCTATGGCTATAGCCAGTAAACTATAGGGGCTTTACATTTTAGCTGCCCACATATCCAATCTATCCATTTTAATTGGTCTCCCTGTCTCAACTCTCTCTCCATTCTAATCTATCCTCCATTTAGCTGCCAAGGTGATTTTTCTAAAATGTAAGTCTAATCATATCACACCTGTCTTCAACGAGTTCCTATAGCTCCTCATTATTTCTACAAAGAAAAATTTCTCTGTTTAGCATTTCAAACTCTTCATAATCTGGCCCCTTTCTACTTTTCCAGTTTCTCTTTAAAAAAAATATATTATAAATATATAGATACACGCATATGCAATTAATAAGCTTTATTTTTTTCTCCCTCCCACCTTCTCTCTTGGATAAACAGGAGGAAATCCCTTTTAACAAATATCCAGAAATAAGCAAAATAAGTGCCACTTTGGCAATATCCAAAAATGTATGTCACATTATGCATGTTGAGTCCATCCCTTCTGTGCCAGGAGTTGGGTGGCATGTTTCATCATAAGTCCTCTAGAATCATGGTTGATCATTGCATTGATCAGAGTTCTTATATCTTTCAAAATTCGTACTCCCCTTCATAGTCTTGCAGGTCATCAAACACAGTACTTCATCTCTGTCTTGATGCCTTTGCACTGGCTTTCCTCCATGCTAAGAATGCTCTACCCTCACACCTTACCTCTTTTTTTTTTTCTGGTGAGGCAATTGGGGTTAAGTGACTTGCCCAGAGTCACACAGCTGGTAATGTGTCTGAGGCCGTATCTGAACGCAGGTCCTCCTTACTCCAGGGCCTGGGCTCTATCCACTGCCCCACCTAGCTGCCCCAATGCCTTACTTCTTATCTCTCAGTTCCTCTAGATTCCTTCAAGATTCCATTCAAATCCCACCTTCTGCAAAGGGCCTTTTCCTCAGTCCAACCAGCTGCCAGCACTTTCTTCGTCTACTCTGTACGTATCCTGCATGTATCTAGTCATTTTCATGTTATCTCTCCCATTACCACATAAGCTCCTGGAAGTCAGGTACTGTTTTTGCCTTTCTCTGTATTCCCGGTGCTTAGTACAATGCCTGGCACATAACAGATGCTTAATAAATGCTTGGTAGCTAGGCCTCAGTTTCCTCAACTGTAAATTGGGGATAATAATAGCACCTACCCCCCAGGGTTGTTGTGAGGATCCAGTGAAATATTTAACAAAACTCTTAACACAGTGCCTGAACAAAATAGGTACTTAGTTTCCTTCCCTTCCTTTCTTCTAAAAAAAAAAAGTAATGCCTGAATGCCTAGCACTGAGGATAAACATCTCCTACACACTACTGTGCACAAAAGACGGTGATGGGAAGAGGGAGAGAGAGAAGATGGTGGGAAGAGGAAAAGGAAAGAAATGTGGTTCCCAAATGTGTGTGGCTAGGTATGTACCTACACACACTCTTTGGGGATCTCAAAGCACTATAATTTCCTTATATTCTGTGTTTTAAGGGTCTGTGATCTTGTCATCGTTGGTATTCCCTCAAAGATGCAGATCACAATACCTTTGAACTTAGCTGATGTGGCATTTGCAGCAGCAGAGAAATGTGCCACTGTAGAGCCAATCTGACAAGAAGCTTCTACATGTTTGGGGCTGGTCCTCAGAAAGCAGACACACAATCCCTCACTGACATACTCCACAGAACCTTCCATCTCCACAGAACCTTCTGAGCACATGCTCTGCTGGTATGACTTTCAAGAACTCAGGGTCAAGTCCACACCACAATGGGGCATGGGAGGGGGACTTTATTAGAGGATCATCCCTTTAATATCAGAATTTCATTAATTTCATCTTTTAACTTATTTCACAAAACATCCATGAGGCAAGAAGCTAGATTAACTCCCTCTGCTTTACAAAAAAGAGATTGGGTGCAGGCAGAATAAGTGCTTTGCCCAAAGCCACACAGCACATCTGTCACTGAAGGAAACAAAACAGAATCCTCTGAGGCCTTGGTTTGTGCATTTCATGCTCTTTCCCCCATCTACCTAAGGGATTTTGGTTTTTGTTTCTGTTGTTTTTTATTTAAATTTTTTTTCCAATTAATTTGCAGCAAGTTCCTCTAAGAATATGTTGCTGATCAGGCCTCCTGACCAGCCTTCCAGACACATCTTCTGAGCACAGACACAGGGGCTGACTGATCAAGTCTGACAGCCCACAATGGATTCTATGTGACTACATGCATGACATAGCCAGAAGCCTAGAATGCCAGAGTGGAAAGAACACTAGTGGGGCATATCATATAACCCCCATCAGAAGTAGGAATTAGTCCTTTTCTTCAATGGCCTCCCTGAGAAGGGGTCACCCGGGTCTTGAGGTAGATAGCAAGTTAATCATTCAGGAAATGTTTATCAAGCCCCTACTATGTGATAGGCACTGTGGCAAGCAGTGGGAATACAAAGAAAAACAAAAGACAGTCTCTGACTTCAAAGAGCTTATAATCTAATGGGGAAGTGGTAGGAAGAAACCCTTGAGCCAGGTGGGAGATTATGGGATGCAAGCCCTGAACCCATTCCTTAAATGATGGATCTGGGAGGGGCTCTCTGATGCCTGTTCTCTACTCTCTCCAATCAGGTAGGCAGGGATGTGCTGATAAATGCTTAACAATCTGCTCTCTGAGAAAAAAAATAATAAAGGACATGTTTAAATTTAATTTGCATTATTACCATTTCCATTGCTTTCTTAAGTTTAAACAACCAAGAAAACAATAAATCAAGCCTGATTTGTAGCATTGGCCAATTTCTGAGGCATAACTTCACACTGGAAAAAAAAATTTTAGAGGTTTATTAAATGTTAAATATATTACATTGTATATTGACACTTTTATACAAATACACCATCTTCATGACTTCAGGATATTCACAAAATACTCTGCAAAATACCAGATGTGACTAGAGTCTGAGTTCTTCCCCTCAGTTAAGATGATTTACTTCATTTTTTTAAATTTATGGAATAAAATAACCATTTCCTGCTCACTCTCAAGCTGGTTGTTAAATCCCCAGTGAAAAGAAATTCACACTGGAAATTTAACAATCAGCCAGTAGGAGCCATCTCCTATATAGGAAATCTTGGATCATTACTGTAAGCACTCTTGCTTCCCTGGTTATGGAGAGGTGATGAGGAACAAGACCGAGAAACAACATAGGGAATCTCCCTTCAAGAAGAAATTCACTCTTTTAAGGAGGGAATCTTTGCAAAGAAACTGAGAAAGGATTGACCCATCCTCTCTGCATCTTCCTCCAAATCCTATCAGTCCCATATCTTTACCTTCCTCTTAACCACAGCATGAGAATTTGAAGGAATCTTCAAGTCCAGCCTCATCATTTTACAGATGAAGAAATTCATGTGAGGTTAGATGACTCGTCTAACATTGCACAAGTAATAAATGGCAAAGCTAAGGTTCAAGCCCAGGTACTCCAACTCTCAATTAAGGGCTCTTTCTACTATGCCACATTCCTTCGCATTCTCCTCTTTCTCCCACCACCCCCTTTCCATTCCTCTATTCATCATCCTCTTCTTCCTCTTTTCCCTTTCTCATCTTCTCTCGGTGCCATAATCATCCTCCTCATCACTATCTCTAAACCTACTCTTCATTCTCCTTTTCCTCTTTGTCCTCTCTCTCTCTCTCTCTCTCTCTCTTCTCTCTCTCTCTCTCTTCTCTCTCTCTCTCTCACTATCTCTCTGTCTCTCTCTCTCTCTTTCTCTCTCTCATCCTTCCTCTCGCCATCTCTGCACCATCTTTATGTTAGCATAATTCCCTCCTCATTCTCTTTTTTCCTCCTCCCCTCCTCTTTCTTGCCACCTGGTGCCACCTTCCCCCAATAAAGTCCACTTTCCCAACCACATTCACAAAGACAAACAGCCAGCTAGTGTAGAAGTCAGTTTAATAGGAAGCCAAAAGCTTTACTTCCATAAGACAATTTCTAGGAGCGTCTTATAACCTTCTGAACAAAGGTCAGCTTTTATGGGTCATCTTAAAGCTTTGGGCAGAGGGTTGATGCGGAAAATTTTATTGACAACATAATCAAAGACTGAAACAGGAAAATAGGAAAATAAGCAGATCCACAGGTAGGAAAATATCCCTGCTGTGTACAAGGCAGATGGGTTCTTGCACAGGATGCCATGCAGTACATCTGTGAATAAGGGGGAGAAATCTGGGGGAGACTTGCTGAAGTTCTGGAGTAACCCCCAAGTCGAAGACCGGAGGTAGTCTTGGCCATAATCGTCTAGCACATCAGGAGACGTATTCTCCAAGACATCCTTCTCTTGCTTCACCCACATTTCATTTGTGCCTCCTATGTCTGTGGCAACAGAAAAGAGAGATGTTAGGACTAGGGACAGGAATAATGAATGGGTTGGCAGCTGGAAAAACGCTGAGTAAATGTGTCAGTCCAGGTCCCTGTGTGATTCTATTGGAAAGGCTAGTAAAATCTCCAAGAAAGATTAGATCCCTACTGTGATATCCTGACAACCTCTTAAAAACGCAGAGATGTAATTTGCTCATTGGATCATAGATTTAGAACTGGAAGAGACTTTATAAGATAACTGGTCCTACCCCCTCATTTTGTATATAAGGAAATTGAGGCCCAGAGAGGTTAAGTGACTTTCCGAAGTCATGTAACTAATAAGTAGCAGAGCAGGGATTTGAAACTTCAAATCCAAATCTAGCCTTTTTTTCTTTTTTAATTTCTTTTTCTAATTCAATTTTATTTTCAGTTTTAAATTTTTTCCCTCTCACTTCCCCCTCCCCCACCTATTGAGAAAGCAAAAAACCCAAAACTCGTTACAAATATGTAGTCAACCAAAACAAATGAGTTATGTCTCCTCACCATGTGTATGTATATATGTGTGTGTGTGTGTGTGTGTGTGTGTGTGTGTGCGTGCATCCATACATAAGGATCCCTGTAGACGGCATACTGACTTAGTTTTAAAATGTAATGTTATCTATGTTTTGTTGCATTTTTATTTATTTTATTAAATATTTCCCAATTATATTTTAATCTGGTTTGGGCCATACTCAGGAGTATTGTGGGCTGCATGTTTGACTCTCTGATATAAACATTCTCCTGGTTCTGTTCATTTCACTTTGCATTAGTTCATACAGATCTTCCTGGGTTTTTCTAAAACCATTTTTTTCATCATTTTTAATAGAATAACAACCTTCTATCACATACCATAACTTGTTCAGTTATTCACCAACTGATGAGTCCTCCTTCAGTTTCCAATTCTTTGCCACCATAAAAAGAGCTGCTATAAATATTTTTGTGCATATAGGTCCTTTTCCTCTTTCTTTAATCTAATTGGGATATAGACCCAGTAGCAGTGATGTTGGGTCAAAGGGCATGCAAAATGTAATAGCTCTAAGTTACTTTATAGAATGCCTGGAGTTTACAGCTTTACCAGTGCATTTATTTAGTGCATTAGTGAAAGTGCTTTCTCATAGCCCCTCCAGCATTCATCATTTTCCTTTTTTGTCCTCTTTGCCAATGTCTATGAGGTGGTACTTCAGAGTTGTTTTAATTTGCATTTCTCTAATTATTGGCAATTTAAAACCTTTTTTTCATAGTGATTGATAGCTTAGGTTTCTTTCTCTGAAAACTACCTATACATATCATTTAACTACTTATTAATTGGGGAGTGGCTCTTACAAATTTGAATCAGTTTGTCATATATCTTAGAAAGAAGACATTTATCAAATAAACTTGTTGCAAAGATTTTTTCTCAATTTTCTGGATTTTTTCCCTAATTTTTAGCTTTGTGCAAAAACTTTTTATTTTTGTATAATCAAAATTATCTCTTTTACCTCTTATAAACATCTCTTTCTCTTCTTTGGTCATGAACTCTTCATCTATCGATAGCTCTAACAAGTAATTTCTTCATTGTTCCTCTAATTTGTTTATGATGTTCCTTTATCTAAATCATGTATAGATTTGGAGCTTGCCATAGTATACAGTGGGAGATGTTGGTCTATACCTCATTTCTGTAAAACTGCTTTCAAGTTTTTCCAACAGTTTTTGTCAGATAGTGAGTTCTTGTCCCAATAGCTGGGATCTTTGGGTTTATCAAACACCAGGCTACTGTTTTAGTTTGCTTCTATATATTGTGTATAGAATCTGTTCCATTGATTAGCCTCTTTATTTCTTACCCAGTTGTTATAATTTAGTCATTTTCAATTGCATCCAACTCTTCATGACCCTTTTTTGGGTTTTCTTGGCAAAGGTACCAGAGTGGGGGTGAGGGTGGATCAAGATGGCAGAGAAAAAGCAGGGTCTCATCTGAGCTCTCCCCAAAACTCCTCTGAACATCTTTAAGTAATGCCTCAAAACAAATTCTGGAGCAGTAGAATACAGAAAAGTATGGGGTGAAACAATTTTCCAGCCAAAGACAACTTAGAAGGTCAAGAAGAAAGGCCTGTCTCACCAGGGTGAGAGTGCAGCATAGTCCAACCCAGGCCATAGCAGCACAGATCAGGCCCCAACAAACCAGGAGTAGACCTTGGCAGTGACTGAATCAACAGCCACAGCAGCTGCTTCCAGAACTCTCAGCCCACAGATGTAAGGGGGTAAAACAAATGGTCAGAAGAAGATTACAGGAGGCTTTTTGGTGGCAATGGAGAGAGCACTCTGTAGCTTTGCCCATACTTGAATCTGGGTCTTAGTCCTAGGTGGCAGTCCCGGGGTGAGGAGGAGCTTATGGCCATAGTGAAGCATGAATCCTCCTGACAGTTCCAGGGCAGAAAAGAGTTCTTGTGGTCACTCACAGATCAGAGCACAGGTCAGGAGAGAAGTAAACATATCTCCTTAGATCATACCACCTTGGAAGAACTGAAAACTTATAGGTCCCTAGAAGTACCTCTGAAAATAATTGCACAAAACCTGTGAAACTTGGGACAGTGTGCCCTCCATGCTGGAAGCAGAGCCCCATTTTAGCAAAGAGGTAAAAGTCAAGAAATAGGCTGGGAAAATGAGCAAACAAAAGAAAAAAATCTGACTACAGGAAGTTCCTATGATGACAAGGAAAAGCAAAACACATTCAGAAGAAAACATAGTCAAAACTCCTACATCAAAGAAAAATATGAATTCAGCACATGGAAGAGACCAAAAAGGATTTTAAAAATCAAGTAAGAAAGGAAAAATTGGGAAGAGAAATAAGAGTAATGCAAAAAAAATCATAAAAAATGTAATCGACAGCTTGGTAAAAGAAGCACAAAAAATACTGAATAAAATAACACCTTAAAAACTGAATAGGGCAAATGGTAAAAGAAGTACAAAAATCCAATGAAGATAGGAATGCCTCAAAATGCAGAATTGGCCAAATGGAAAAGGGGTACAAAAGCTCACTGAAGAAAATAATTTCTTAAAAATTAGAATTGAGCAAGTGGAAGCTAATGACTTTATGAGACATCAAGAAACAATGAAACAAAACCAAAAGAATGAAAAATAGAAGACAATGTGAAATATCTCATTAGAAAAACAACTGACCTGAAAAAAAGATCCAGGAGAGATAATTTTAAAGTTATTGGACTGCCTGAAAGCCATGGTCAAAAAAAGAGCCTAGATATCATCTTTCAAGAAATTATCAAGGAAAATTGTCCTGATATTCTGGAACCAGACAGTTAAATAGAAATGGAAAGAATCCACCAATCACCTCCTGAAAGAGATCCCAAAATGAAAACTCCCAAGAATGTTATAGCAAAATTCCAGAACACCCAGTCAAGGAGAAAATATTGCAAGCAGCCAGAAAGAAACAATTCAAGTATTGTGGAGTCACAGTGAGCATAATATAAGATTTAGCAGCTTCTACATTAGAGGATTGGAAGACTTTGAATATGATATTATGGAGGGCAAAGGAGCATTACAATGAAGAATCACCTATCTAGCAAAACTGAGTATGATCCCTTCAGGAGAAAAAGCAGAAATTCAATAAAATAGAGGACATTAGAGCATTCCTGATGAAAAGACCAGAGTTGAATAGAAAATTTGACTTTCAAGTACAAGACTCAAGAGAAGCATAAAAAGGTAAACAGGAAAGGAAAATCATAAGGGACTTAATAAGGTTAAACTCTTTTCAAGACTCAAGAGAAGTATGCAAAGGTAAACAGAAAAGAGATATGATAAGGGACTTATTAAAGTTGAACTGCTTACACTCGTATATGGAAAGATGATATTTGTAACTCATGAGACCTTTGCAAGTATTAGGGTAGTTGCAGGGGAAAATATATGGATGGACAGATAGATAGATAGATAGATAGATAGATAGATAGATAGATAGATAGAGATAGATGGATGGATGGATGACACAGGGTGAGTTGAAGATGAAGGTGTGATATCTAAAAAATAAAATTAAGGGATGAGAGAGGATTATATTGAGAGGAGAAAGGGAGAGGTAAATCATCTGATATAAAACAGACAAGAAAAAGCTTTTACAATGGAGGGGAAGTGGGGGAAGGTGAGAGGTAATGAGTGAATTTTATTCTCATCAGATTTGGCTTAAGGAGGAAATAACATACACACTCAATTAGGTACAGAAATCTATCTTACCCTACAGGAAAACAGGGGAGGAAGGGGACAAGAGAGCAGGGGGATGATAGAGAGAAGGGCAGATTGGGAAAGAGTGTAATCACAAGTAAATACTTCTGAGGAGGAACAGGGTCAAAAGAAAGAATAGAATAAATGGGAGGGCAGAATAGGATTAAGGGAAATAGAGATAGTTTTTCACAACATGACTACTATGGAGTTGTTTTGCATGACTACACATGTATAACCTGTATTGATTTGCTTGCCATCTCAATGAGGGTGGGTGGGGAGGGAGGAAGGGAGAGAATTTGGAAACAAAAGCTTTAAAAACAAATGTTTAAAATTGTTTTCATATGCAACTGGGGAATAAGATATATAGGCAATGGGGTACAGAAATCTATGTTGCCCTACAGGAAAAGAGAATGGGAAGGGGGTAAGAGAAGGTGGGGGTTATAGAAGGGAAGGGATTATGGGAAGGGGTTTTCAGAATGCACACCATCTTGGGATGAAGGGGGGGACAAGATGGGGGAAAAATTCAGAACTCAAAATCTTGTGGAAATGAATGTTGAAAACTCAAAATTAGTTAATTAATTAATTAATTTTTAAAAAGAAAATTTTATGCCCTGATGGCAGTTTTTGTGAAGGTTTACAAAGCACAGTTCAAAAATAGGCACACTCCTTTCTGTTCCCATTAAATATTCACCAGAGGTGTCTCATATCTAAATTTTCTAAAATTCTTTTCAGCTTTTTTTTGTTAAATTTATCTAGGTTTGATAGGGGTAAAT